GAAGAAGAAGAAGAAGAAAGAAGAGAGAGAGAGAGAGAGAGAGAGAGAAAGAAAGATTCGAGATGATCCGTCCTCACGGAGGGATGGATATCTTTGCGCCGCGAATCCGGGCGTTTTGGAGGTTAGGAAGATGGACGGCTGAGCGAATCGTTCCGGTTCACGCGGAGGATTCGATCCCAATCGAATTCGCGGCACCAGAGGGTTTCGCTCGAGGAGAGAGCCACCGCTATCTCTTTTGCTTTCTGTGCCTACTGACGTCTACCGTTTGCGATCCGCACCAACGGGGCCACGAGTTATCGCGGTGGCACGCAGCGACTCTCGATTAATTATGACGCGTGCAATCGCATCACCTCATCGATAGATCGATTTACTGCGCGATTTAAATTTGCACAGATATACCATTGCATCATCGTAGCATATATCAAATGTCATTCTTTTAATTATGTAACAGTTAATTACATAATTTATGTATAGATATATTTTATATTATCATACGTTATACATTATTATTATAATTTTATTTTTATATATGTTTAGAATGTTTTTTTGTGTCTCAATGATTAAAAGGGATCATCATATTCGATGGCGAAATAAATCGAAATCGCTTTTCTTTGAAATAATTGTATTAATGATGTTGATATTTTAAGTTTTTTCTTCTATGTACACACTTATCTTTTACTATAAAAAGATATGATTATTAGGTTATGCAATGTATTTGTACACATATATTAGTAGATATGAAAACGAGAATTTCATTCACTTTAAAACTTGTTTTATCTCTTATGTTATATAAAAATAAAAACAATTAAACAGAATTTTTCTCATTTTTTTTATATCGTACGTTTTATTAATTACTAAGAAAACAGACATACAATTTTTTTTATAAATTCTATTAATATATAAGACTTTAAAGAATTTTCCACAAAATGAATTTATTCAAAGATTACGTTTTAAAATAAAAAATGATATAATTTAATTTAAAATAAGATATTAAATAATTTAGTATTTTTATTATTATAATACACCTTTTTAAAAATATTTACAATTCATCGTAAAAATATTTACACGTCATCATTGATGTTTATTGTCATGATAATCACAATTAAAAAAAAAAATAAATTATTAATTGAAATATTTATCTTTTGAATTTATATTTGATTATATTTGTATATTTGATTCATATTTTTTATTTCTTTTTGTTAGTGGAAATATATTGTTCGTAAAGTATACGCGAGTCACATGAGTGCTCACATTGTTTTAATAGAATTAGATCATCGTTACCATCATTGATCCGTGAAGACCTTTAATGCTTCTCATCACGCTTGAAATCCTCACAAAAAGATATGAGAAAAAAATTGTCAGAGATCGCTTTTATTTAAATAACTATTTAATTAATGGAAAAAAAATTTTCGCTTGCGTTTACGCGAAAATTAAACTTCGAAAGAGATGAAATGCGAGAGCATTAATTTGTACGCGAAGAAAATTTCATTGCGTATTGTTGCAGAAAGACAGCGATTTCTATTGATGACGGCAGTAACAATTACTCATCGGAAATCAATGCGTCAACGACTTTCCGTGAAAAACAAAGCAAACTACACAGTAGCGATAGTTCGATATAGGATTGATTAATGAAAAGCAAATTGTTCTTTTTTTTGTTTGAATTCCAAAATTGCATAAGAAGCTTATTTAAATAAACAATTAACGATTACAATTATTCTTTCAAATCATGATAATTAATTTTATACAAACACAATCAATTTTATTTATAATCATATTTTATAATCATTTAGATACAAAACATATTATGAGACTTACATGGCAAGAAGCTTAATAAATTTTTCATTTTGCATATTAAGAAAATTAATAATAAATTTTCCACAATTGTAAAATGTTTCTTTATCTTATTCTACTCGTATATAATATTTTTTTTTCATTATTAATGAAAATTGTGAATTAAAGTATTATGAAAAGGAGGTGTGTAGGATTTACGCAAATGACGAGAAAGCACTTAGCGATCAAAAGTCGTGTTATAAGCAATGTAAGATGATTCTTTCACCTTTGCATCTCCCACGTAATCTCACCTTCTGAGGACAGATTGCAGATGAGGCTCTCTTTCGCCGAGAGTGAACCTGGGCCAATCGTACGACCGGAGGAAATGATGATACGAGGTGGCATTGAGGGGATGACCGAAGTGAGAGAGAGGGTGCAAAGGTTTAGAGCAGAGCACAGCAGCTCGCAGGAGCAGTTATATCGATCGATTCGAAGTGGAGTTTGAGCTCGACAGGTTTCATCCCCCGGTGCGGGGGCGAGATAGAGAAGGAAAGAGAGAGGGAGAGAGAGAGAGAGAGAGAATGAGAAAGAGAGAGAGAGAAAACATGGAGAACCGGAATGGGGAGAGATTTCGGAGAGGTGAAGAGGGCCGCGTGTAGCGAAAGCTCCCCTTATAATCAGACACAGCCAGATAGGCCGGTCAGCTGCCCGGGCACGAATCGCTCTCGCGCTGCTTGATCAGTCATCCAAGTTCGATTGTGTTTAATCGCTCGTCTCTATTTGTTCATCTTCGTGTGATCTTTTTTCTTCTTTTACTCGATATCATTCACTTCTTCCTATCTCTCCTCTTCTTCTTCTTTTTCTTCTTCTTCCGGATTTCCGGGTGTCTCATAACCGCGGCTTGGATTTGCCGCGTGTCGACCTTGAAAAAGTGACAGTGCGAGTTTCTCGATTTCGGCGAGCTCCTCTGTCAAGGCTGGCAGGTAGGTCATTAGTGTCAACGGTTATCAGCTGATATCGAAGACATTCTATTCTTCAGTGCACTTGAGCATATGTACGAGCGCGTGTGATCTTAAATTATAAAAACGCGATAAGCATTCATTTTAAATTGAAGCTTACGAATTTTTCGACTGATTTGTCAACTCTCATGTTAGTCATTGTTTAACGCTAGTTTAAAATTATCTATTTCTTTTTCTCAAAGAGCAAGTTTTGAAGTCAAGTTGAAGCTAATACATTGATTAATATAACAGATTGATTGATTAAGAAAGATATGGAAATGTCTTTTATCGATATCTCATTGTGTTTTTTTTTGTATTATAAGAAGAAATAAAAGATACATATATTTTTTATAATGTATTTAATGTACCTATTTTTTAATCTTTTCTAGTGAGTTGACATTTCTTTAAACTCGATTATATGTATAAAAGCAATCTTTTATGTTAGATTTAAAAAAAAGAAAATATATATTTTATTTAGAACTTATTTTTAATTTATTTTATTTTACGAGTCAGACAAGAAATAATTTATTTTGATTTCAAGAAAGAAGTGTATGTGTCTAATGTATGAATGATTATTTACGTAATTGAATGAACGTGCATCTATTTGATGTTAACATGATAATAATAATTAGAAGCTGCATAATTATTGTTTAGCAATGTACAGTGAATTTCAACATAGAGACGACAAAAAATGAAATGCAATCGTATCGTTCACAAGAAAGTATTTGCTTTTTTAATTCTTTATGATAAATTTAAACAATTTATTTTATCTTTAGAAATAAATGAAAATAATAAAGAGTATCGTTAAAATTACATTTAATAAAAAAATTTGTATACAGGACAAAAATAAAGAGACGCATAGAAAGTTTGCTCACCAAGGAAAATTCGATAGCTATGAAGAAAAGAAGAAATTATTAATATCACGGCGGAAGATCGTTTATTAACAATGGAAGAGACATCCTCCAGAATGCGTCCTTATCTTGACTGGGATGTAAGCATAATTTTTTTTAATAAATATTTTCCGGCTTATATATCGCGCAAACGCATCATGAAAATTTAAATAGAACTACTAACGGTAAAGTTAGTAAAATATAGTCATTGATCTTTTTGTAGAATGAAGACAAATACTCGGTAGCGAATAGTCAAGTGCCCTTGCAGAATGGCGAAGACGATCATCCGGAACGTGGAAACTGGACAGGAAAATTCGACTTTCTTTTGTCTCTTCTGGGATACAGCGTAGGTCTCGGGAATGTCTGGAGATTTCCATATCTTTGTTATTCGAACGGCGGTGGTGCTTTTCTGATACCGTTCACCGTGATGCTTATCATCGCCGGATTGCCTCTTATGTTCATGGAGCTTTCCTTAGGTGATCTTCAAAAGAAACCGATGTCGAATGTCTTGACATTAATGACATGAATTATTCACATTACAATATATATTATATATATTTTTTATTTTTTACAGGACAATATGCTAGCCTTGGGCCCGTGGCAGCTTACAAGCAGTTTTGCCCTCTGCTTCGTGGATTAGGATACGGAATGGTCCTTATTAGTTCCGTTGTCATGCTTTATTATAATTTAATCATTGCTTGGACACTATATTACATGTTTGCCTCGCTTATTGGTAAATATTAATATTCATAGGATATGATAATTTTATTGGTCGGCGCTTCAGAACATAACGACACCTTGTTGTACCTTGTTAAAACTATTTATGCAAAGGAATAATAAATTTAAAAACAAAGATGTACATGCGTAGCACAGTTTGCAAGTAAGGACTTGCTAAAGTAGAAACTACTCGCTTATCTAAATTCTTCAGGTGGTTGGGAGTTACCCTGGAGCAAATGCGAAAAGGAATGGAGCAGCGAGGATTGCTTCATGCCGGACACTGCCGAGGCTTGTGTCTCTCAAAATGCTATTTATTTCAAAGGGAAATGCCTCAATTCAACTCAAATAACTGCAATGGGTTTGATTATCGAAAATGTGACCGGCGCTATCAGAAGACCACCAGCTGAGGAATACTTTCAGTAATGACATATATTATATAAATTATTATGTTCAATTTCGTTATTTTTATTATTTAGTCTATTATCGTAGATCCTACTAAAATTAGTAATTTAATGTCTATTTACATGTTTCGTTATGTCCAGCAATCACGTTTTGGGAATCAGCAGTGGGATCGAAGAGACTGGATTAATTCGACCGTCTATGGCGGCCTGTCTTTTCCTGGCATGGATCATCGTGTTTCTCTGCCTGAGTAAAGGTGTGAATAGCTCAGGCAAAGTCGTATACTTCACCGCTCTTTTCCCTTATGTTGTCCTGGTACGTCCGCAGTTTTAATTAATTTTAACTTGTTTCAAACAAACGACCGCAATTTTTTTCGCAGATCGCCCTTTTTATTCGTGGAATCTTACTTCCTGGTGCTAACGAGGGTGTACTCTTCTATCTGACTCCCGATTGGAAGAGGCTGACGTCTGCCAAAGTATGGGGAGACGCCGCCGTTCAAATCTTTTTCGCTTTGAGTCCGGCCTGGGGAGGTCTGATCACCTTGAGCTCGTATAACAAGTTTAACAATGACTGCTACAAGGATTCCTTAATCGTGGCGATCAGCAACATCGGGACTTCCTTCTTCGCCGGCTTGGTGATCTTCTCGGTAATCGGTTTCCTTGCTCACGAGCTCGACGTACCGGTGGCGTCGGTGGTAGATGAAGGCGCCGGTTTGGCATTTATCGTTTATCCGGAGGTGACTTATTAATTTTGAACCAAATTCGCATTCTTCTTCATCGATCATCTTTATTTTGTTTGAATATGTTATCGATGATGATGTAGGTCGTGGCTCGTCTGCCGATCGCACCTGTCTGGTCAGTACTCTTCTTCATCATGCTGCTCACCTTGGGCCTCGATTCGCAGTTCGCTCTTATGGAGACTGTTACCACAGCAATACTCGACGGCATTCCATCGTTAAGAAACTACAAGATTTGGGTTGTCCTAGGGGTTGCGGTGATCGGCTACGCTGGTGGCATTATTTTCACCACCAATGTGAGTCCTAAATAAGTTGGTTTAATTGGTACAGAATTTTAATTATTTTATTATCAAAATAATTATTTCTTTCACTTTAGGCTGGCATGTACTGGCTGCAGTTAATGGACAAGTATGCGGCTAATTGGTCCGTCCTGTTGATCGCCATAATCGAGTGTATTCTCGTGGCATGGGTGTACGGTGCGGATCGCTTTCTGAATGACATCCAACAGATGATCGGACCCCGAAGTCGTTTATGGAGATTCTTTTGGACGTGGATGTGGAAGGTCGTCACGCCCGCCGCCCTGTTCTTTATCTTCTGTTTTAATTGGGTGGAATACGAGCCGCTCAAATACGGAACTTACGTCTATCCAAAGTGGGCGGACATATTAGGTTGGGTCATCAGTATGCTTCCTATTCTAGTAATTGTCGCGTTACTTATAGTAAGTTGAGTTATTCTTATCTAAACACTATGACACACTGACGAATATATATATATTATACGAGAGATAACAAATTTAGGATCAGCTGAAAGGATGTCGGCGATCACCTTATGATAACGATGACGAAGATGACGATAACGACGAGGACGATGACGACGATGATGATGAGTTAGACAATAATGAATCTTGTCAAAAAGTTGAAAAAAAAAGGACAAGACTAAGAATAAGAACGTTTGGAAGCGCATAAAGATATTGTTGCAACCGACGTCCAATTGGGGTCCGGCGTCGCGAAATTCTTTGACACCTTCCAGAACTTTGACACCTTTATCAGGTAACGATTCTTCATTAAGTAATAAATGATTCTGAGAGTTAACCTATAATTAACGATGTTCTTAATGCATCGAAGCAATCCCAGGAACGTACGATTCGGTGCGGGATACGATCATCTTGGTGAACGGTCAACCGATGATGGTGCAATCACCAAGCGTCATTCCAACTGTTCAGAAACTTCCAGGCCCGTCGATCCTAAAGAACTCTAGCAAGACCGATCTGATTACCTCGCAGCAAGTCTGACAAGACACGTTAGTTTCACATCCGATTATGAATTCTTAGAAGAACCATGCTGAGAAGTCAGTGTGCCTAATATAAAGTAAGCATATTTTTGAAATGAACAATCTTACATTGTCAATACGAGTTCTATTTACGAGAAGTATAAATTAAAAAATTTTTTTTAATTAACATATTACTATATAATTTTTCATTGGATATAATTTTTACAATTGATTGCGTCAAGAAAGGGTGTTAAATGGACTTTTTATTAATTATATGTAATTTATTAATTAATATTTATAAAAAAAATTCTTTATTCTTCCGTGATAAAATAAGCAACTTTGTTAGAATAAATGAGTCAACATTTATCAAATAATTCCTTGATATTAATGGCGAAATTTAAATAGATATTAAAATATTGATATTAAAATCTTAATGGCCAAGGAATGTTGTAAAATGTTACGTGAAACTAAAAAATTGAAAAAAACTATGAAAAATGATATAGGGAATATTATTATTTAAAGAGCGATATTCTGTCATCCAAATGCAATGAAAGTATTATTACACAAAAAACAATTGTGTCACAATAGAGAAATATTTATTTTTGGAAGTCATTGATTATTTTTATTGTCAGAGAAATATACACGTAATTTTAATAAATGAAGAAAGATATAAAAGTGGACAGTAAAGAGATAAAGAAGTCAAGTTATATTCAATGTATACAAATCTCTTGTAAATGTTATAGATATATTTCAGAGATATATTATAGACAAATATTGTCACTCGCAAGATATATCTTTTAGATATATCTTTAAGAAAGATTTTCCAACATTATCAATATTTGCAGAGACATTCAGGGAATAGATTAGATATTTTGAGAAAATGATAATGAACGGAGAAATAGACAGGGAAATTTATTATAAGTAGATAGGGATATTGTGGAGATTTGTATAGATGATTTATTGACGAATAGCGAATAACAGGGAAAACTTGCAATTTTTCATTTTTGTGAAAAATATTTTTTGAATAATTTTAAGCGATAATCTAACAAAATATTCTATCTCAATCTATTGTAATGAAACTTATAAAGAAATTATTGATGCCTTGATAATTTTTTCAAGAAAAAACTTGACTCTGCATAAGTGAAAAACTTCGTAAATAAAGAGAGTGGCCTTAGTTCTTGGAAAGAAATTTGTATATGAAAGTACGGAAGTAATATTTATATGCCAATTATCCCAGTGTCTTGCTCGGAATAGTCTTCATCTTTTACCGCAAAATATCAAAAAATCAGTCCCCCAAACTTTTATATTTTTAATTTTAATGCGAGATATCTTAGAGACAACCATCTCGAGTGAGTACATACTGATAAACTAATCGGATTATAAATCGCTTAACGCTTATAAATTGGCAGTAGAGAAATCAGAATCAAAAATATTTGTTTGTAACTAGAATAAAATTAACTACAAAATTAGCAATTTAAAAATTTTAGTAATAATATTTAAATAGCTCAGAAATTAAAGAAGAGACGATCTATAAACTATTGTGAATGCATGTCGGATTGTAGTATCAAATATCATTGTGAACACGTTTCAGATATTAGTAAGTTTGAAGTGAAAAAAGATAAGATAAAAAAAGGGTATTTTAGTAATCTGTATTTTAAATTTGTAGCAGAATTTATAAAACTTAGAGCCAATATTATACTATGAACATGCCGTTAGATGTACGTGATTGTTTCTCCTCTCGGCTATTGCCTCGCCAAGCCACTTAAATGTTCAATAATTTTAGTGTTTTTTAGGTCATACGCTAGTCATGTGACCTACCTCACATACAATAATTGTAAAGGTATATACACATGTATACCTTGCCGTGTAAAGTAATATAATGTTAGTCACGATGCTGGTTCTTGTGCCAGTCAAGTCAGACGATTAACTGTTCTAATAATAAGTAGAATTAAGAGCAGTAACGCATTATGAACTGTAACAATACGGCGATAACATTGTCATCGCGTAAGTTACAGCTCTGATATCGTTACGAGCAATCGTTAGAGCGAAGAGTACAAATTAATGTGTCCCAGTTATAATAATGGCAATGGAAAAAAGGCGCTTCCTTTCAAGAATTCAGCCTCTTTTCTGAAAGAAAATAGAAAGAGGATTTTCCCGTCGAGGGCGGATCACTGCAAAGAAATTATGTTTTTTTTTTCATCACGAGTAATATGAGTGATGTTATTATTAGAGTAAATATTTTCTGCAAAAAGAGCAATTTTATTATAGAACCAAAGTACTAATGTGAAGTTTTTATTGTGAATATACTGAAAGGTATATAAACAAAATACAATAATGCCTTGACTGAAAATGTATACAGTATTAGAGAGACTTACACGTATGAAGAGAGATAGAAATAATAGAATTATATAATACATATATCCTGAATAGAAAACAAAAAAGAATGTCTATGTATGTTGACTTGTTAATTTAAATAGTAATAAAATAAAAAATGGAGGGACTGGATCCTTTCGAAGACGAAAGTTATTAACAATAATTTAATTCAAGGTAACGATTGTGTGTTAATGTATAAGTTATGCACATATATATTATATATATTATATATATTATATATATTATATATACATCATATATATTATATATATTATATATAAAGGTATGAAAATACCAAATAAATATGTTGTGTTATTACATATATACACTGCATAAAAAAAATATAAAGGTAAATATAAATGTTTCGAGCACATCCAACAAATGCATGCGTGCGCGTATAAATTTGTAATGTATATAAATGTTTACGATGCATGTAATCAATAAAGTGTTGGTATACATGGTTAACAACGTGTTGCGCCGAATCTCCGAGCGTTCGTGGTAATTGATTTCTGATACATTTTAATAACTCCCTTTCCCCGCAATTTGTACAAACGTCATCTCTAATGGGATACATAATGGGAAAACGTAACATCCAAATAACAGAATTAATTCTACGATCTTTGGTCTTTCACCACTCCATCGTGTATTCCATAACAGTCGTTTCGAAAATAAGCCACTCGTCGAAATCAAATTTCGTAACTGTCAGCTTTTCAATCAAAATCTAATTAATTTAACAATCACGAAAACAATGTTATTTTTTTCACGAATCGATCGAGTGCGTTCTATTTCCGAAATACAACTTTCATATCTCATCCGCGTCCCGATGTGACCTTTGTCAGACTTTCAGCATCGACAAGACTTCATGAGTCGCTCGAGGGTGGTCCAAATACGACTTTACACCTCGAAACGACGCCGAGTATCGGTTTCACCAATATCAAGAGGCCCGCAAAGAACCACGATGCGAATATCAAGTCTCTTCCGACCGTGGTACCGGACCACCAAGGGGTATAGGTCCCGTTGATGAGGGTGGCTAGCAAAAGGATAGTCACGCCGATGCCACCACAAGCGTGAGCGACCTTGATGAGCACCGGCCTTACACGTGGATATATCCAAACGGTGTTGTTCGCCAGGACCCCGAAAGCGGCGACGAGAACGGTCAGTACAATTGTCGTCAGACCCAGCTGCGCGTGAGTCGTGGCGAAATGATCTTTATTATGGTTGATCTTATTGACGACGATGATGATCAAGCCGATCCCGATTATGATCAAACCCATCGTGTGTAGAATCCAGTGTATCGTCACTCGGTTACGCCTGGGCAGCTTCCAAGCGATGTACGCCTCACCGGAGATGTTAAAGACAGCTTCTGTGACCAGAAGACCGACCTTCGCCACGACATAAATGTCGAAAATTATTAAATCGCAACGTAATCTTGGGATAGAATATTAATTCATTCATATTGATTAGAAATTAAATTAATTATTTTTAATTTTCCTTTTACTTTAATGTTTAGACGATATTTTTCATTTTTTTTCTTTTTTACTTACCCCAACAGTCATGCAAATCGGATGCCATGAGAAAAAGCTGTAATCCTCAAAGGAAAGTACTAGGATGTATATCACAGGAGCCACGAGCAGAAAATGTGTCAGTATTGAAAAAGTGAGAGTTATAATGCCCGGAGGTCCTTTGTTACCTTCGTTGCCCATGTTGAGAAGGAAGCGACGATATCTCTTTGGAACCTAAAAAAAATATTTTGTGGCAAACAATGTGAAACTAAATAAATCTTAATAAAAACGAGAAATATATCTAAATTTAATAAATTATTTAATAAACTATATACAAACATTGAAATTGAAATTAAATGGGTGGGTTCTCAAGACTTGAGAAAGCAGTCCTTAAATTTAAAAAATTTTTCCTGCCAAATTTTATCTTTGGCATGTACATATTTACAATATTTTGTTATTTTATTAAATATTTCATATATAAGAAAAAGAGGAAACTCTTTAAAAATTGTTATAGCCTAAGGCCTGAAAGGAATTCAACACTATCATAACATAAAGTTCTATGGACGTGTCGGTATCTTTTTACGTAATTCTTCGTAATTACTATACAAGACTTCGGATGCACATTGCGTGATTCATCTGTAATTGTGCGGTGCGATTTCTCGCGTCTTCAAAGATATCTTCCAGTATCTATCTTCCATTCTTATTATTTGCCTGACCGATATGATCTTGGCATTCGCACATATGTGTGATTACATGATTAAGTAAAATTAATAAACAAAAAATAACTGTGATATTCATTAATATGAATGATAAAGTTTTTATCACATTTAAATATATATAAGAGTCACTAATTCCGACAACTGATTTTCCAAGTCATGATTTCACAGACGTAATAAAGATATCGTGATTTCCGTTGAAATCCATTCTTTAAAAGTAAAATGCTATACAGCATATAACTTTGATATAAATTTGATTTTAAGACATAATTAGCATGTGACATTAAATTATCGAAAGAAAAATTACATATTTACTAAAAAATATTATTGTATCATAGACAAAAATACATGGTGAGCTAAACAAGTACTATTAGATAAGAGAGACCATGGCACTAGTTAAGCGATAAAATTCAAGCTCTCGTAATAAATTGTTTTGTTAATGACCTGATAACCATCGATAAGAAATGCATGTTGAGTAACGACGCAAAAATGCTGCTTGGTCAATCGTTACAAAGTATAAAAGTTTGCAATATCTTTGTAATTATTAATATTACAAAGATAATCGCGGAGAAGAGGACACGGAAAGAAATCGCCAAATTTTTTTTTTTGGAGATATGTTAATAATTTATAAATTATTTTTTAACTATTTTTATATCAGGTAAAAAACTCGCGATTTCTTTCTTGAGAATAAGTCTATCGATATTATTAAAAATAATAATAAATTTCTCTAAATAAAAAATATACCTCTTTCAACAAAAGACATAAGAAATAAAAAAAAAGATTTTTTTAAAAAGGTTAACATTCATTTATCTATAAAAATCATTCATTACTTACTTGTATTATTATAGAAAAGTTTTTTTAATGATAAAATACTTTTTCTGTAAATCAGTGTTACTAAAAATAGCAAACAATGCAAAAAGCAATGACGGTAAATTGTTAATACGTGCTAATTACGATGACGTATATGATTTCTAATTTATGATGTATTATCTCATTCACAAATATATGTTTATCCTGAAATAATACACTTTTAAGTGTACTGCACTTCTCAGTCAAGTTATAATTTTCACTTAGCGATTATTTCATGCAGCACTGTAAAATGTATCGTAAAATGCATATAGGGCGGTTATAGAAAGTGTCACGAGCATTATTTTATTTTGATACTTATCTTTTAATAAGTTTGAAACCAATACATATTTTTTTAAACGAATTTCTCGTTTAACAATTTTTATACATTTAATATTAAGAAATATCTAGATTATAATGTAATCTTAATAATAATTAATTCTATATTAAAAATTTATTAAATAATTATGTGTAATTTTATAATATAATTAAACAAAATTTGCTTGATATTAAACAAAGAATTTCTTGTAGTTTATTTACTTATTAATTCGCAGAAATCTTTCTATATTTTGATTATTCACAGCCACACGTATTGAACTATCAACAACAAGTAAGTCCAGAGTAATTAACTTGATATGTCGAGATATACGTCACGAGATATTATCAATAAATCTCTTTCTCTCTTTCTTCCTCTCTCTCTCTCTCTCTCTCTCTCTCTTCTTCT